AAAAGTTAGTGGAAATTAATAGGAAGTTAAATTCAAGGGTATCTCTAAGGCTTCCTTGCAATCGCAGTACAGACATCTGTGTGAGCCTCTGTTTTTCAACACACCTGAGGCCTTTCACCCTCTGTTTAACAAATTAATTTCAACAGAGACCTGCAGCTTATTTAATTTCTTCATAGCAGTATTTCCCTCCATGTCTCCCACCTTACTTTCTGTTCATAATAATGGAATAATTTACTTATTTAAGCTCAAGCCAATTTACAACTTTGTGGTGCACAGGTTAACAAAAAAAAGTTTCTTATCAATGTTTGACAGTCAAGTAAGATATCAATTTTTTTTTTTTCAACATGAAGTGTTTAAAGTCCAGTCTTTTTCTAACAAGGAAATTTAAGTACAATATTATTACTTTAATTAGTGGAATTGCTCTAAATTCTCCTTGTTCAGGATGTGACTATTGTGTCTTTCGTTCTTCTTTTAGTCCCTTCATTCAACACATTTGAATCTAACTTGTTCTTATGTTGGTAGAATATAGAAGGAAACAGGAAATGCAATTTCTATTCTATGATTATGCTATTAAGTGAAATAATTATTGTGAAATCAAAAGTCCAGAATTCAAATACTCCTTTAAATAATAATAAGATAAATAATTTGTAATTGATATAAAGCCTAGTTCTGCGAGCTAGAGTAGTTCTTTCTCAGTCTCTCATAGGGCCTGGGGCAGTTTTTGTTGCTGACTTCAGTATGACAACATGCACAAACTTGTTTTTATCTCAATCTTTTACTTTTTTAGCTTATTTTGTTTTCTAAGTCACCTGTAAGGAACTTAATTTCTAAACGTTGATGATGTATGCCTTTGATTTGTCTTGTTCTGACCAAGTTCCTTATGGAAACTTCCTCTGCCATGTCTTTGTCCGTGCACAACAAGAACAGCTTTACCCACCTCCTGAGATACTGATCGTGAGATCTTGAGAAGAGACTGCTGTTAAATGTTTATTAAACATATATTTTCAATCATTTGTTGGGAAATTGATGATACTTAAGCAAAATTTTCAAGGACAGCTATTCTCCCTTTTAGGTCTTGTTCAAGCAATACCTAAATGAAACATCAGCTACCAATTTGTAGGTTGCAATAAAGGGCATATTTCTTCCCTCTCTCGCTGTCCCTCATCCTTATGGAATGTTGTAGATGCTCTCTTACTAAAAATGTTCAGGAGCCTTCCAGAGGGAACTTGTTTATAATGCTAGTGCTGTTGAGCACATCTCTTTGGTTACATTCATTCTGAACAGAGCTATTTCACCTGTGTCAGTTGAAAACATGAGATGACTGAGACAATACAGCAGTAAGGGACAACATGGACAACTGCACCAGCACCAGACACGCTGCATAACACACTTCCTCTTTCTCCCACTTTTCCTCTTCCTCCAGTTTTCTGTAGTCCTTCTCCATAACTAGGGACCCAGATCTGTTTTTTGATCTGTTCTTTTTCCTCAATCTGAATTACTAAATTCTAAATTATATCTGAACATTCCGGTCCTATCTTGTCTCCAGTAGTGGCTATGAAAAGCTGGCAGAGGACAAGATGCCACTACACTAGGTCTCATCTTAAACATGGTGTCTGCATCAATGACAGATAAGACTTAATATTCTTTCCAATATTTGTTAGCATTAACTATTATAACTTTGGAAAGTCCTCTACTTGTCCACTATACATCTTTCCAGCTTGACTTCAGTGACCCCAGTGGTAATAAGTTCAATTAAGTAGAAAATATACAAAGATTCTCCTTTTCCCAATCAACTCTGTATTCACCATCTTTTAATTCCACCAAACACCTTACTGTTTTGTTGTGGAAAGCCAGCAATCTGCCCATATACTTTACTTTAGCATCTTATATTTTCTATTTCTGGCTGACAAGAACTCCTAAATTTTTCTTGTTCGAAGTATATCTACCTTTCTGAGGACTTCTGGGCAGCTCTGCAGTCTGTATCCCACTATCCCTCAACATACTGAACACAGTAGGGCAGCTACAGAATAGGCGAAACTGCTGCTTTTTGCATGCATTACAGTTTTAATCAGGCTCTTCAGTTCTATGCTCAGATACCTCAGAAATCTACCACATATGACTTCCTCCATGATTTACAAAGGAGGCACACATTCTAAGTGTAGATAATAATTGCACCATTTAAATGATAATACCAAGATGTTTTGTATGGGGAGGCAATTCATGCAGGACATTTTTACCAGGAACAGCTCTTTCATAGGGCTATCTATCCTCATGCCAGATGTCAAATACAAAAAGAAATACTTTGGCATGAATAACAAAGTTCATTTGACTGAAGGATTTACCTCCTAGGAACAAGAACCTCATAAAACATAAACATTGGGAGCAAAGTGAGCCACGTAAGGGCTTTTGCAAAAATTAAACCCATAACACGCCACTAGAAATGGGATATTTCATCTGTTCAATAAGCACTAAAGTTCTCTTTGTTTTTATGGCATCGTAATCTTTGATTACTCTGATAAATATTTGGACTATACAAAACATTGCAATGGAACTAACTGCAGTTATAAAAAACCCTGTGTGTGAAAATGAATTGAGAATGCAATGATACCAGCACATTTTAGAGAAGTTCAAATACAGAACCACATTATTCTAACTGGCTCCTGGCCTCATTCTTTTATGTCTCCATGTAGTCATTTACACCTGAGGAAAATGATTATGAAAGTTGTTATGCTTGCTGGCTTTGCCTAAGCATGATCAGGTAACTGTACCAGACACAGAACACCAGCCTCACCCCGTGTGACTGGCTGAACCCAAACCACACAACTGAACTGTAGCAAATTTTATCCAAAAAATGTAGTCTGGTATTGAGGAGTAGGTCTCTCTATGCTGAAGTCTATGTTTGTGGAATTCATGCGGTCTCTCACAATCACTGCATATAAAACAGCCTCTGTCCCGCCGGGGAGATCTCTCCTTCCTTCCCCTTCCTTTCAACTCACCCACAACTTCCCTTTTTTTTGGTTTTATTGCTCAGACAACAGACTGGGACATCATGCTGCTGGCAGATCATGTGCGTAATCTTAATTCACTCTTTGTTTAAAATTACAACTCTCTCCATACTTGTTACAGTACTCTGCACAAATGTAAGGTTGCAGAAAGGCTCTAGGCATGTCTGTATCCTTCCACAGTGTAAAGCCTATTCAGTCCTATTTATTCTTTTACAGTAGGAGAGGGAATCCTCTATCATTCCAAGCATGACGCACCATTCAGATGCCAGGGACCTATATTCTGCCCACAGTTGAGCTGGAGAAGATCTGTAATCAGGAAAAGCTTCCCAATACCTAGAACTGCTTTTTATAATTCAATGTAAGGAAAATGATCAGACTTCTCTGGGGGCTAGAAAAAAGCAACATGATTACTTTGAAAAGCAAAAAGCTTTTCTCTACCTCATTGTATTCTGAGTAAATGCATTAATGTAAATAAAGTTCAAGTCCATATCACATCTGATAAGAAGTAATTCCAGTGGTGAAAGTCACACCTAGTATAGCACCAGCAATGTTTATGAAGTGGTAACAAGAATACATTTGAATCAATGGGCTGCATATTTATATCGCTGATGCGATACTGTCATGTACTGTCAAATATTTTAACATATTACTTGTAACAGCTGAAGTCTGCGTTTGGTTCCAGCAGACGAAACCCAGAATAACTGAACCAAAGCCCATGGAGATACTTCAGATAGCACTGATTGGAACAAAGAACGTGAGTTTGCACTTAGCATTTATATAGTCCTTTTCATCTTCAAAGAGCATCGCAAACATTAGCTAGTTCTAATTCTCTCACAATGACCTTCATGCTAACCTTTTGGGATAAAAGTAATATACTATAAGAAAAAAACTGACAAGATGTGTAATCAAGCATACACCTAGCCTCAGATGTGTAAACCATCTCTGCCTTGACCTCTATCTCTGCCTCATGGTAGATTCTATCTCATCAAGAATATAAGGCCTTTCACCATGGCTCAGGTATTAATTCACCATACAATGTATGGTGTATTAATACACCATACATTTTTGTGTATTTTACTAGCATAAATGTATTTTACTAGCATAAGGTGACGGTACTAATCCTTGAATAACAGATTTACTACCATAGCTATAGGATACAGCTATGCCTTTTTAACAGATAAGGAACTCAAAATAATACTGCATCAAAAAATTTGCTGGAGCTGTCACAGGACAAGCCAGGGACACATCTAGGTTAGATGTTGGATACCATGGCTTTGAATTCCTACTCCTGAGTCATTCTGGGATTTTTTTTTTTTCTCCTTCGAATTCAAATCGGGAATTTTTTAAGTCTCTTTTAGAAACCTTTCTCAGAAACAGTAGCAGCTTCTTTCACGTACCAGTTCTATTTGCCCTCCAACACAGACTTACAATTTGATTATCAATTCTGTGTGTCTCTGAGCTCAGAATCTTGAATAAATTCCTCATGTTCCAGTTGCTTGCGCACTTTATACAGAGGAATAGATTGAAGCAGACAGTACTCATTTTCATGGTGACCCAGAACAGCTATTGTTACAAGAACACCTTTAATCTCCTGTTTCTGTTTTTGAATTGAATTCAAGTGGGGAGAGATGAAAGAAAGCGTCTCAGAAACCTGCTACTACAGCTGGTACTTCTTAGTTTATCATACACTAGGTCTAATTTTCTTTGATTCTTCTTAAAATTATTGCTTCTATGTCCTAATTTGACAACCAGGCATTCATTGCTATTTTTTGACTATGAAAAAACCCTCCCCTCGCTCTTTCTTACAGCTACTTCCTCAGAAAAAAACCCCCAATCTTACTGCGTTAGGATATCAACATATGAATTTAACTTCTCCCACGGTAGGTTTTCTTATGCAGCGTACACATGAGAAGCTAAATACATCACTACTTACGGTTCAGGGAAAGGACTTACAAAATAAACTGAAGAGTGAAAGGAGGATAAGGGTCATGCTGATATGAAGGGCATCAGTTGCACTGCAGTCCATTTTGGATTTCTTGCAGGAACACACTTGTAATTTCAGTTCTGTGTTGTTAGTCAGAGGCGGTTTTCCAGAATCTGTCACTGAGATTGGGATGTTATAATTGGCCTTCTTCAGGTTTTGAAGCAGGATGACTTGGGCATGAGTATCTGCAAAGGTGAGAATTAGCCAAAATAGTGATTGTCTGGAAGGGAAGAGGAATCTCCAAACAGTATCAGACATGCCACTCATGGAAATTAAGAAGAACATGAGAACACTCTAACGAAAAGGTTAAAGAGTTGAACTGGAGGTAAGAAAAGGCAATCCAGAAATTCTGTCATGGTCTGAGAGCTAACTGCGAACTTATTCCAAACCCCACCAAAGACTTTTAAGAGCCCCTTTTGTTTAAATAATATTATGTGGTCTGCAAATTATTGGCAGAATTTGCCTGTGGAAACTAATATGCTAATGAAATGCTAAGGCACGTCATCCCCAAAGCAATGCAAGAGGGAAGAGTTTATCTATTTGCCAAAGGAAAAAACCCTTCTCACAAGGAAGTATAGGCAAAGCTACTTAACTGCTTCCCTGGTTTGCCTGAGAAGGCAGTGAAGGGAAGTAATGCCCCTTCAAATCCACAGACCTGCTCCACCTGAGCAGCAGTGGGTCACAGCAGCTATTGATACCCAGGTGAGTGTACCAACTCTTTTAGGGGGGTTAACAGAGCAGTGGTTTGATGTTTGGGAACAGCAAAGAAAATGACTCCTCCACTTTGTCCTGCAGGCAGATACAGGTAACTCATCCATCTTTAGTTTTTTCTAAGAAGAATGTGAAATGAATTGCTAAAAGATTCAACAATAATAGAGATAAATAATACATGCTAGAAAACAAATACAAATAATCTACATTAAAAAAGAAATGTAGTACTTTGCCCACAATTTGCCATATAAACCTTCTTCAATTGCTTTGATCCTTTTACCAATAGTGTGTGGTCCCAGTGCATTTGTGAAGAGTTCAAATACTTAAAATCAGGGAGTTATTCAAGTACCTTGCTAAAGCCCATGCAAAAGTTTCATGCTGTCCTCTAGCAAAGCCTTGTGCACCTCACGCAAACCCCTTGCCATGAAACATGCTAATCTTTTCAAAACTGTAAGTCATTAGTAGCCTTTCCTTAAATATAAAACTGAAAGAGAAAAGTTTGGTCAACATAAGAAGAGGAAAAAAAGTTCAGATTTCAGAGAAAATGCAGACAATTAGTATGTCCCACCAGGCAGCTGGTCCGAGCACAAACAGCACAAGTGTAAAGCAGCAGCAATGGGTCCATCCTGCAGGCCTCCCATGCACAACTGCTCCTGAATTCACATCATGAGCAGCCTCAGGGCGAGTACACTGGGATCTGAAGGTGGGAGGACTAAATGCATAAGAAAAAAAGTAATAGACTTACTATTAAGCTTGGTGATTCTCCACAGTTTTTCTGGGCCAGATTGCTTACTCAGTTCAAATTTGAATGGATCTGTGTTGGGATGAAGGTCTTTGTCTGATGCTCCTAGTACCACTACCCTGAGATCTTTTGCATCGTCACAAACTTTTGCCAGTGTCGGATAAAGGGATGGGACATTGTCATTGACATCCTCCAAGGTAATGTGTAAAGTTCCTGTACCTGTAGCGGGAGGGTTACCTATATGAAAAAACAAACATATATTTAGTAAATCATGCTTCCATAAACACTTGCTCTTATTTGTACCTGCATGCTTGCAAAGGGAAATAATTTGTATAGTTCTTACCTCTGTTATATGAAAATTATTGCTTTAAAAAACTGATGAGTCATATTGTAAATTCGTTGCTCTATTTTCAGAATGCAGCCTGTCTGATTCCCTACAGTATGGATAACTATTCTAAGGAAACCTCTGTGAGAGGAATATTTTGGAGTTAAAATGAGATTCGAACGTGAATAGATATCTGGAAAAGAATCTGTTCATAAACACATACTGAGAAGAACATAGTAGGAAACATCCCCTAGATAGACAGCATGGTATTAAAAGAATCAAGAACAAGCCAAGTAGGAGGAAAAATGACAGCAGAGAGGGATCAATTTGTATGGTGGGTGCCCATAAACAGAACAGGACCAGATCACTCCCCAGCAACCCTTGGGGACATATTTTGTTATGTCAGCAGAAGTGAAACCTGTCAACATGCAGCTCTGGAAAATGAGATCTTTTATTTACCCAGAGCTAGCAGTGGAGCCTTCAAGCTTTCTTAATTTATTTGCCAGCCTGTCTCAGCCCTGACCCGAACGAACCAGCTTCAGAGGTGAGGGTGTTGTTTATGCTCCATGGTACTGCTAGAAGCCTGTGTGCCAAGGCTGTGACTGACAAACCAGCCGTGGCGCTGGAAGTGTTTGTAACGGAGACGTCTGCCCACTGGGAGCCGGACTCGGACTAGCACCTCATTTCACAGGGGTCAGAGAGGAGCTGACAAGCGGTAATAACTTTCAGTCACTACAGATGTGTGCCATGGTTGAGCCAGTAACCTACTGCTTTCAGTCTTATTACAGATTCCTTTACCAACCCATTTTAACTGATCTCAAGGTTTTCTAAATGCATGTTACTTCCTTCATTGTATCCCGTCCTTAATTTCTCACTTAAAATGCTGCGCTTCTGGGTTGTTTGTGTTTTTCTGCTTTAGTACACAAGATCTATGATCTCTGCGCTTCCTTTTAGCTATAAACCATTAGCAGGTAGAAAGGATTCAAGAGGTTGCACTTAACCTGTAAAGCACTAGTGCAGTGTGTCATGGTAGTTTTAAGTTCGGCGCTGAAAGAGGTACACTTTAGCATAATTACCCTGCCTATAGCAGCCCAATAAACTATGGAATTATTGCTGCACTGTGAGTGCATCCTAAGGGAGAAGTAAATACCCTGTGGGCTGGATCTGATAAACTACTCACTGTAGCAGAATGCAATTAGTCCTTTCAGTAACAAATGTTACTAATGGTGATACCTCATCTGTTTCATGCACACATAAATGCATAACAATGGCAGACTTTTCATAGGTCTTTAGCTTTCCCCCTCCTCATATTGCACTTCGTCATCAGAAGGGTTAGGGTTGAGTTCTTCTTAATGAAAAAGAAATTATTTTTCACTTTTTATTGGACTAATTGAATTTGCAGAAAGACTCCAATACATTTTTTGTTCTTGATATATTATTAAGTAAAGTCATACGGCAGAATGGATGAAAAGACATTCAAGTATTTGAAATATGATCATAAAAGCCAGCCTTTCATGCACTTAATTAAACTGCTGTCTTTAATTTTGAATGCATTATTTTCACACTGGACTGATAATGTCTTATGCACTGCCCTTCTTATCTTTCTCTGAAGTCAGTAATATTAAAATCTGCCTTTTGAAATTAAGAAGCCAACAGCATTATGAATGTACTGTTATTTTGTCAAACGCAGATATGGCTGCATTTTCTCTGCCATGCTAATGTTTCACTATCTTTGTATGGCTTATGGGCCAGTCAACTATTACGCACAAATAGAGAGAAAGGAAATTGCTTCTGTCCCTTTCAATGACTTATTCTCTGGTTGGTTTATTTATAATGATTTAAACAAAACCTCTTGGTTATTTATGAAGACCTCCAAAAGAAAAATAAGCAAATGTCAAGGTCATAAACTGAAGCTTGTTAAGACACATGTCATAAAAAATACAACAAAAAATGAATTGAGGAAAAATGATCACAACATATCTACTGGGAATATATGACTTTCATAAATTTGACACTATTATGCATTTGAAATAATTAAAAAATCCCATGATATCCAGACAGCTTTGGTTTTGAAAGGAAAGATTTACGTAGCATATTTTAATTCTGAAATAAAACGTCTCGTAATTTGTATTGTAAAACCTTGCAGCTGAAAACCAAATTAATGCATAAACCAAGACATAAAGGGCTCTATCCAGTAACCCTTGGGAGCAGCTTTTCAAAAGAGCTTCACTCTCATTTTTGTCACTGAAGTGAACTGGCCATTCCTCCTGAGGCTGAACACTTTAAACCTTTAGGTGCCTTTAGAGCCATTTGGGATCGAGATAATTCCACATTTCTGCTAAGGCTCCCACAAGAGGCATAGCTGTGAATATACCACGACAAACAGATGAATGAAACGGCAGTACTCACGTGTGCAAAAGCTACTAAAACAGAGACTGAAGGATAGCTAATTTTATGCTGAAAGAAGGTGAAACCTTGGTATTGAATCCTGATTTTAAAGACTGAGAACCTTAATGAATAATCTTCAATGAGACTGAACTGCAAAATAAGATCTTTCAAATTAGTTAGGGGTTGTGGGACTGGAACTTTGATCAGCAACACTAAAAAAGTATAGATTCATCTTCAAACATTCTGCAGTTGGAAATGTATGATACACTTATCTGAACTGGACCAGGACTGGTAACGTCTTCATATCCTGGCATTAGACTTCATACAAAGGTTCTAAGAGCAGTCTTCAGTTAGGCAATAGCTACTGCTGTTGTAAGATGCAACAAGTGCAAAACAGACAAACAAATCTAGTTCTTTTGCATGAGCTAGAGCGCGCCACAGGATATCTTGGGAACTAGAATCTGTAATGCAAGGGATTGTTACCAGAAGATGCACATGTTGAATTGGATTTTAGTGCTATCAGCATAAACAACCATGTTGCTACCTTTATTAAAAAAAAATAGTTTCAAAAGAAATGAAAAAGCCATGCAGAATTGTACTAGAATAATTAGTGTAAAGTCTGAAATTATAAAGTCCCTGTAGAAACACACGTCCAAGAAATTTGAAAAGTGGCATTCCGTTTTGGTCCAAAAAGTTCCCATAGGAACAATGATGTCATTTAGACATCTAACTACTCAAATGAGACTGCCAGTCAGGTAGTTAGTTTCTTAAAAGATACCAATTATGCACAATGACGGCCGTGGACTAAGATGACATTTCTCTTAAGTATCAAGCATGTCTAACAAGCAATCATATGGCTGAATGGCTGATGATGCATTTAATCTGAGCATAACATTTTTATGGACATGAAGAGCCATTTCATGTTCCACTTTCTAGTTTTTCTACAGAAATGTGATGCTGTTGTGTATAGATCTCTAAGCTAAGCTGTGCTCCACGAAATTAAAGACGGTATCTGGGCTGCTTTGAAACTCAATTAAGACATTCCTAATCAGTGTACATTCAAATACCAACAGCTTTCATTGATTTGAAGTGACAGCAAAAATACAGAGTTAGGAATAGCCATACAGCAGGTGAGATTTTCTGGTATGTCTCACACAACAAGCCAAACACCCCGAAAAAGTCAGTAAAAGTTGAGGAATTAATTTTTGGGGGTATCCGAAGAAAATCTTGTAACATGACTGAGGGTTGCCTGCACAGCATCCTATTTCTTTGCACGATGTAGACACACCTGCACTTCTATCTTATCTTCCTACTGTTATTATCACAAAAGACTGACAGAAGGATCCACATTGCATGAGTAAGTAAGTCCACAGTCATCTCTGAATGTCTCACTGCAACCTGTGCAGGCATATGTACAAAAGCTTTAAAATGGTCAGTGCAGATGCTAATAACTATGTAGCCTCAAATTATTAACATGAAAGTTGTTTTTATATGTTTTAACTCAAAGCATGACTTTCATGGAGCATTTTGAGTTCATACATTTTTTTCACAATGCTAAGGAAACCTTGGGGAACACAACGCTGGCTACGCTGGTATCTGGGCCATGTCAACCTGCTGCTTTCACATTCAGTAGTTTTCCGCTGCTAACTGAGCGCTCACAACAGCAGCAACAGTGGAGGGAACAATTTAGGCACTTCACTGTTGGAATCGCAGCAGTTATGTTTAGACACTATATTCTCTTCTAGGTGTACAGCCGAGGATGAGGGTAGTTAAAAGTAGGCATCCATCTACACTAAATTGCCAGTGTAATTTTACAGAAGCTGGTCAGAAACATTGTTCTAAACTGGTAGAACATTTTCAAGATGGAAGAGTTGTTTAAATGCATCTCAAAGGCAAAAAAAGTCTAGACAATTTAATCCTTTTCTTCCAGCTTTCCCTTTCCGATTTGCAGCAAATCTCAGGATTAGCCTAAATGACCCTGCTTACATTTTCCAAGCATTCAAAAACATATTCGGAACTTAGAAAACAAACAGATTTGGACATTGAGATTACGGTGAGTTTAGATTGTCCATGAAAATGAAGATGCATATTACTTAAAGCAGTGGAAAGGATCATAAGAGCGTATCCAAGTAAAACAATTGCTTGAACATTGCTGCTTAAAAAATAAAGTCCTATGCTTTGGTCAACAGACCACCCAAAATCAAAGAATTATACTGATGTTGTTCATCCTACCTTGAGCTTTCTGAATTCTAAAATTTTTAAATCTTTTGGAATAACTGCAGTGTATTTTTTTTTTCTTTTTCCTTTTAGAATTGGGTAGTTAAATTATATTTATTTTAAGACGTAAAGGATATTAGAAACTAAACAAATTGGATATAATAAGAACACTTGTTCAGGTAAATAAAATTTCATTTAATTTGTGAAAACCAACAGGAAAATCCTCAAAAAATATTTTCCCTTCTAGTCTGATGCTTTTTTTCAGTTTGACACCAAACTTGACTTGATCTAAAATAGAACAAGTTGC